AGCAGGAGCTGTTGATTACTCTTTTCCACCTTGCTGGTTGCAGATCTGATTTGTGTATCTAAGAAGAAACCAATCTAGAGGGCATGCTGTAGCAGATATTTGTAACCATCTTCATTGGGGTTTTCATTTTAATAATGACACTATGATATGACTAACTCAAGGGAAAAAATAAACAGCCTTTTTGTTGTTACAAGATTTCTCTTGGTAGGTGGTTAACCTGAACAATTGCTTTACAGGGAGGACAGAAAGAGAAGTTTAATGCAAACATCGCAGTGTATTTACATAGTAAATGCTTAAGAGGAAATATTTTTGCTATAATAATTTTGATGCTTCCTATTGCATAACCAGCAAGCTGAATAATACTGGAGCTGATTCTCTCCTAATTAGCAGCAGTGCTATGCAGGTACAAGTTCATTGACTTCAATAACCAGACATAAATGAAAGAGCTGACTATGTCTTGGGGCAGAGTAACAGTAGATCAAGTAGATTTGGATATTAAAAAAGGCACATATAGCAATTTTTATTAATATTTTGGTGTCCAGAGGAATCTTTTCCTATACTAAACTTATCAAAAGCTCCTGCTGCTGCTTGTAGAGGAGATCCTCCCCTCTCTGCAGGAGGCAGTGGCTCTTTCAGACTCTGGATAATAGGACTGGAAGTGTTTCAAGAGTGTATTTTGTGATTAATGATAAGTTTCACTGATGACACCAAAACCTGCAGTCTTGTGGAGCAGGGGTAACAGTGACAGCAGTGTAGACTTTCTCTTTGTGGCAGTAAAGTTTAGGACTGCCACCATTCACGGTTCTTCCAACAGTGCAGTGTTTAGTGAATTGTACATAGCACTGGCTGTCTGTAAACAAAAGCATTACCTAATCTTAAAATTAATGCCATGAGAAGTGTTCTTGATGAATATAAAAACCAGTGGTGTAACATCCACGCTGGAGATAGTCACTGAGCCTCATTTTGTAGTCAGTGGAGAGAAGAAAGAGTTCATTTCATCTCATCCTAAACCAGTTTCTGAGGTCAGCTGAATTGTGATCCATATGTGCCTGTTAGTTACAGGTGTTGGGGATCGTGCGTGTGATGTTCAGATATAAGTCACTGGTACATGTCTGAAGTTGAACCCTGCTTCACCAGCTGCTTCTCACATCCAAGCAAGGGTGGAAATTCCCATTTGGCTTACAGCCTTCTCTGTTGTAACAAAAATTACACGTATCACATCTCAGTAACTTCCAGAAGTTTTCTTTTTCTTTTCTTTTATGTAGAAATCACGTTTGGCAGGAATAGTTGCATCTGTGTTTTTTTACCTTTTGTTCCAAAGCATTTGCAAAACTTACTGTTATGGATTTAGAGGAGATTCTGCTTGACATGCACTTTTGCCTGACTGAGTTATCCATTACCAGGTGAACAAATACTAGTTAAACAACATCTGTGATAGGAAGACAGTAAACTCACCTGTCTGATGTGATGTAGTTTTCTATTACCACTAGTGCTATGAGGAATCGCTTACAAGCAAATTCAGATTTCTTAATTGAATGGTAAAATAGGAGACACTTAGAAGCCCTTTGAATCTGGCATGCTTCACATAAGACTTTAAACTTACTGATGAATTTTTCCTGAGAACATTCAGAAAGTAAAGGCTTAAATATTTTTTCTATCCCTTTTTCTTTTGCCATTTTGAATAAAACTATTTCCAATAAGCTCATATACAACATCCAGATAGTTATAACCTCCATGCTGAAACTGAATGAGAGCCTTTGCTTAGGTTAAGCACTAAGCATGTGAATAATACTTAAATTATTGGAAAAGCCACTTAAGCGAGATGAGAAAATTGTGTACAAAACCAGTATGTCAACTACTAGGTATAGATGAATGTTATCATAGAATCATAGAATGGTTTGTGTTGGAAAGGACCTTAAGATCATCTAGTTCCAACCCCCCTCCCATGAGCAGGGACACCTCACACTAAACTACGTCGCCCAAGGCTCTGTCCAGCCTGGCCTTGAACACCACCAGGGTTGGAGCATTCACAACTTCCTTGGGCAACCTATTCCAGTGCCTCAGCACCCTCACAGGGAAGAACTTCTCCCTTATATCTAACCTAAAGTTCCCCTGTTTAAGTTCAAAGCCATTCCCCCTTGTCCTACCACTACAGTCCCTAACGAAGAGTCCCTCCCCAGCATCCTTGTAGGCCCCCTTCAGATACTGGAAGGCTGCTCTGAGGTCTCCACGCAGCCTTCTCTTCTCCAGGCTGAACAGCCCCAACTTTCTCAGCCTCTCTTCATACGGGAGGTGCTCCAGTCCTCTTATCATCCTCGTGGCCCTCCCCTGGGCTTGCTCCAACAGCAAGCTGGGGACACCAGAACTGTACACAATACTCCAAGTGAGGTCTCACAAGAGCAGAGTAGAGGGGCAGGATCGCCTCCTTCGACCTGCTGGTCACACTTCTTTTGATGCAGCCCAGGATACATTTGATTTCTGGGCTGCAAGCGCACACTGAAGCCTGCTCATGTCAAGCTTCTCATCAGCCAACACCCCCAAGTCCTTTTCCACAGGGCTGCTTTGAATCTCTTCTCTGCCCAGCCTGTAGCTGTTATGAATGTGTGAGAAACATTATGGACAAATTTGGTAATGAATTACTTAGCTGGGTATATATTATGTATGTCCAGTTCTCAGAGGTTCCCCCACCCATCTCTAATAAGCCAAAGGAGCTTCCTGGTGGCCTTCAACTTCAGAAGCAAATTCTGGTTCTCATGGTCTTGTCTTAAGCAGATACCTACAGGAGTACCTACATATATTTAGTACACAGAAAGAAGCACCCCTATCCCCAAAGGAGTTGGGCGGGTGGTTCTGGGAGGAATTCTTTGTGTTTGAATTCTTTGTACACTGAAAGGCAGGTGGGATGAACGGACCTGACCATTTATGTTGCTCACATGTTTTCTAGCAGTGACCTTTAATTCAAGTGGATGTGAGTGGTTTGTGCTAGACAATTCAGCATTGTCCAGGTGCCAGGCACTTTCAGACCCTGCTTGCCCTATCATGCCTTGCAAGGTTTTCTGGTGTGCAGCTACCAGTTCACCAGTCTTAGGTGAACTGGGTAAGAGGTACATGTGAGGATATTCAGTTCTGTCTGCATCATCCTGGATATGGGTACTATTAACATTTAAAGGATTCAGATAACTTTGTATGCAGAAGGACAACTATCAACAGCCTCTGAGTTGTCTAAGCAATTAGGTTTTTGCATCTTAACTGTCCTAATTCCATCTAAACTATATTTTGATTGCTTAAGTGGATCTGACCCATTACCCATCAGGTAATCCACTGGCTTGAACAGAGAACTATCCTGAAACCAGAACAGATGTAGCAGAAGTTTAGGATATGTTAAAATGGTCATCCTCTTTTTTTTCCCTCTTTAAACCAGATATTCTAAAGTTTCAGTCTATTGGAAACGTTCACCATGTTCCAGCTCTTGTCTTTTGTTTTAGAGAGATTAGAGTAAGTATCCAATTATCACATGTTAAAACCCCTAAAACATCCCAGATTTTTGTAGTCATACATAATAAACCTTTATCCAAGAAATCTAAGGAGTATGCTGCAGCTGGTCTTGCACTGTAAATATTTTTACAGATAGGAGGAAAATCACAGTACTTGAAAAATGCTTTAGAATTAAGGTGGAGATAGATATACATATATATGTATGTGTGGTTTTGTATGTATTTATATATATATGTGATAGGAAAGATATTCAATCTGGATATGAACTCATTTTTGGATAGAAGGTATTTAAGCCTGTAACACAGAACTGTAGCTGTGTCTTGGTCTGCATTACAAGGGAAAGGTGGCAATTACTGGGTTCCAATAGGACTACTGCACACAAACAAGAGAAAGCAGAAGTCAATATTCTGCTTTGATACTCAATCGATACTCAATCAAATGAAATAAAAACAAAAGGAGACCCCAGGGTCCTGTGTGACATTGTTCTAACTTGTAGTGAAGTTAGAAATTAGATACTGATAACTCCAATAGGTCTTAGTGAGTCAAAATACTGGAATCAATGATGTTTTCCCTGTACCGAGACCACTGGGGAGACCTTGGTCCTGGCAAGGCATCAATATTTTGCCCTGTGAGCCTAAGAACAACAGAAAAAGATACATGTAATGACTTATTGATTCAGGGGGAGGCCATGTATTTTTCTGAATAAGAAAACCATTGGACCAGAACTTCTTTTCTAATTTAGGATTGATGCATCATCTGTCCGCAATACAGTATGCTGCTTTAAATAAGAGAATATATCTAGAGAAAGAAGTCTGGCTGTGCAAGGAGAAAGAAACTCTTGCAGAATTCTGCTGCATAGTTAAAGTCATGATTACAAAGCTTTTCCTTGCAGGGAGGTGGATTCTGTGTTCTTTC